CTTTGAAATGATGACGTCAATCGTGCGTCTGTCCTCTAATAGATCATAGGCGAGAACCAATCAAAATGCGAGAATAACTTGGGTTATTATATAAACTCTGATAAAACATGGGGTTTTGACCAATCAGAGCGCTCACAGGGTCCTATCTATATTATACATAAAAATAAGTTTCCATGTGTGGAATTTAGTAAAGTTTGAGAGAATCGCAAAATTATTTGTGTCACTTTGTTTGTTTAAATTTTTTGTTGTAAAACCTCAATCCAGAACAGTTTTGTCCAGCGTACTAACAGATAATATCATCCTTCCTCGTTATCTTTTATATGCCCTACCCTCCGAATGCTCTTTGTATCTAGAATAATATTGTCGATCTTGTCGAAATCAACCTTTTCAGGAACACAGCTCAAGGAACAGGATCTACAAGCGCTCGAGTTGGTGGAATTTTAGCTCCATATGTCGCTTTGATGGTGAGTCTGTAGTGAATTAAAACACAGCTTAAACCGAAAACCTTGAAGTGATAATGTTTGCGCTAGGCATCAATTAAAATTCATAGGGCATGTCGCGAGTATACCCAGTTTCGCACGGGTGTGATTTCCCATCGCGTGAAAAGCCCGCGATTTTGTCCTTACTGTATTAATATTAATTATTCTTGAAGCCGTGGTAACATGTCATTTCGGGTGTTGGCATATACGGCAAAAATAGCTGTTCTGAGCGCCGATCTTTGCATGGTATTGTATCTTGTAAGGGTAGTACGATGTAAATACAGCAAGCAAGCTACTTCTCAACATTGACCAACGCGTTCGTTTCATTTACATCACCAGGGGCAGTTACCAGGTCTCAGCATTGCGTTTCCAGTGGCCATTTTCGGCGTGGTTGCAACTCTTGCTGGGATATTGATGTACTGGATTCCAGAGACGCTCTTCTCATCAATGCATCAAACCATCGAGGAAACGGAAGCGGCCGAAGATGATTATGGAATACCTTGTTGTGGCAAAAAAAAACAGTCTCCCAGACCTAAATCACGCCAAGTAATATGGCTTTAAAATTAGGATAGAAGTAACCGTCGCTGGTGCTGAATGCATTCCAAAGTCCCTTTACCTACCGTTTTTGAGTTATTGTAATTAATCTATCACGAGAACTTTTCTTTTCATAGCGTCGGTAATCCAAAACGCCCCATTTATGCTGACTTGTGAGCAGGCTCCACACAAATCCAGGAAATAGTAACACATTAAAAGAGGCCTGGCCGTTAAAAATTGTCCTTTTAAAAATTTTGATTTAAGAAGCGACGACGACGAAATCGCTAATTTTGAGACAGCGTCTCCCAAAACCAAATAGACTCTTCAAAATTTTTTTATGATTTCTGTGATACTCTTAACAATGGGCGAACACAAGTAACTTTCATCTCGGCTTCTTTCAAATGGCAGGTGAATGACGGGATTTTAGAGTTGTGAAATGTTGAGAGGCGGGACAACCACTTATTCTTTTTCTGGGTCTTTTCTACCTCAAGGAACCACATCAGCTCCAAACATTTAATATTAATTGATATACTTATTTGTCCTTCCTGCCCTTTCTGCCCCTCTGAGATTCAAAATATACGTCAGTTGTTTATTAGCTGCGCTCAAGCGTCTTCTTTTTGGGATAAGTTCCAAAGTTGGTATTCTACCGTAAGCGAATGCGAGTTTACTTCTCTCCGAGCCAGAGGTGTTATCTGGAATTACTCGTCCCTGTGCGCACCGTTTGAACCTCAAAAACCTCATATGCCAAGCAAATATTTTTTTTATATATCAACGCACTAAATAGTACTATGTGCGTTTTCAGCGACTTCATCTCATTAGTGCAGGATAAAATCGAGATAGGAAAATATATTGCTGCCACGTTGAATGGTGAAAGGGAATTTCGACAGAAGTGGAAATCCTTTCTGCCCAGTTAAGGGACGTCTTTTATTAATTCGTTGCGAGTTTATTTCTTTTTCTTCTGTAAGTAATTACATTGTATTGTAAGTCCTCAAGTAACGTAATTTGCAACCAAGTTATGCCATGTACTATAAATGATGTTCGCAAATAAGTAATTATTGCGTATTGTAAGTTAGTAAGCAAGTAACGTAATGCAAAGTATTGTAAGTAGGTTTTTTCATGTATTGTAAGTAATGTTTGTAAGTTATTAAAAGCATTAATTAAAATAAAAGGCACGCAATGCATGCAGAAGCGATGACGTTTAAAAATTGCTCCTAGAAGATTGGAACATGAGCAGACAAAGTGATTATTAAACTTTTGGGTTAGAAATTCTAGGGGTTAACATTTAGGGTAGTCATTGGTGGTTCATTCAAGTAATTCATGTACCAGGTCCATCTTGCTAGTCCATGTACTCGTACTAAGGGTCAGCGAAATGTACAAACCCAAATAAAAAGCACTTCGCTGAAAAGTTCCTCTCTCTGAAATCAACACCTTATTATCTTTAAAGATATTTGGCAAAGCTAATTACCTCACCGGAAATTAATTTGTTGTTTTAACCATATACTTGTCCAAGAGAAAATCATTTTCTCTTGACTTGTCATATCGCGTGTGCGACCCGATTGTCTACCTAAAATTCTATGTACCGAAGATATGTTACTATTAGTTTCCCCGTGAGCGCAAATTTATCCGACACTGTATAAACCAAAATCCACACCCAAATCTTCCTTTAAAAGCTGAAATTAAAAGCGCTCCGCTGATCCTACAAACAGCAAAGGAAAGCCGCAAAGTACAAGTTTCTCTCTCTGAAATCGACATCTTATTATCTTTAAAGATATTTGGCAACGCTAATTACCTCACAGAAAATTAATTTGTTGTTAACCGTATTCTTGTCATCAATGAACATTCGTATTGTCTTTACCCTGACAAAACGATTATCGATTGTCCAATCACAACCACTTTTTCGTTGACAGAAAATATAAAACAGCACATTTCCAAAACTTCATAAAAAACCGCCAACTGCAAATGAATCGTACCCTGACTTCATTATCACTACTGTAAACTGTATATTTCAGTGCTCATACAATGCCCATTCAATTACTTTCAAGACTGGCAAAAGTACAACTGTGCTACCAATCCGTAAATTTTATGTAGACCCTTCAGCTATCGCGTGTGCGACTTGCTTGTCTATCTAAACTTGTATGTATG